ATTTAGGGAATGATATTTTTTTAAAAGTCTGTACATGTTTAGTACTGATTTTTTCTGTGTATTTTTGTTCAGCAGGCTTTTGAAACCACAGATATAGAACATTTGGATGTGGGGTGCTGAACGCATTAGGTGTTTATACCATATGACTCTGAACTTTGAAATGAGGTTCTCTACTATGTGTGAAATGGGGCTACTGTCAAGTCTTTAACTCAAGTTATTCTAGCATTTTGAGACAACCAAACAAACGTCTGCCTGTCTGTATAATCAGAGTAAGAAGGTAGGTGAGAGGTGCAGGTCAGAGGACCTGATAAATAATGCCATGACATTTCTTCAGAACCTCACAGTCATAAAGGAGTACCAATGAGACACCAGTACAAGTCCTACTGACAGAAGGGCAAGCAACTCTAAGAAGCTCTCCATTAAATTTATTTGCCCTTATAAACCCTAGACTAACTATTGCCCACTATGCTGATTTTTTTTTCAGGTTGCAAAATGCTATGAGTCACTTTAAGGACAAAACAAACTATAGCTGACTTTTATTAGTGCCACGGACACAGTCATTCAAAGATGACTCACGCATCCTTCCGCTGTACATCTCTTAGAACCCTCTCAGAAACCAAGGGAGATGTTGCAAGCTCCACAGTCATCTGACTTGATTGCCATGCAAGGAAGCCATTTCCACATTCCTTCAGGGAGATTTGTTTGAAGTTCAAAATCCAACTTAGATGTCTTCACTCAAGTTGAAGGAAGCTAGTCCCAATGGCTCAGCAAAGCTTTACTTACCATTTTCTGTTTTACATGTTGCCTCAAGGAGCCCAGGATACAATGTTTCCCCCAGATATATATTCTTACTTCTGTTTTCAATCTTCTAATGAAGGAAACATCCTTTTCTAGAAAACTAGAAAAATCAACTCTGTTTAGATATGACCCATATATACATCTTTGGGCTTTCATCTGTAATCCTTGCCTTTTACTGATCATTATATGTGTTTCCTAGGTAACCTCTTCCTTCCTTGATCACAAGAGTCTTATAATCATGCTGCAAAAGAAAGACTGAGTAATTCAAAGTACACATCCATTTTATTTCAAATTTATAGTAGACTTTCTTCGCTGTGTTTCTCTTTGGTTACTATAACCGTCACGGTAAAGGACATACAATAAAAGGAAGCCAAATACCTTTGGAACGATAGCAATGCCATCAAAGTTGTGGTAGCACAAACCTGTAACTTAACACTTGGGAAGGTGACAATTTCAAAGCCCACAGTGTGTTTGAAGTCAGCCTGAGCAACTTACTGAGAAGTTGACTCAAAATAGTACAGTGAAAAGGACCAGAGAGCAGGGGGTGAAATATCAACGGAACACTTTCCTGGTGTATGTAGGGTCAATCCTTAGGGACTCCTCCTTACAAATGTTGTCTTTGGTGTCTGAGGAAAAGAAATTGTTAAAACACATGGCCAAGTAGGTCTACTCACCTTCTGCCCTTTCTGTTTGACACAGGCAGACAAAACGTGATGTGGTCATGGGCCTTGAGTTATACTGTGACATGTCTTGCCACCATCCCCTTTCCCTTAGGTGCACAACTGTGCTTTGTGAAACTTCTCAGATTTCTTTAAAATATTAAAACCTTGGGGTCAAAAATGCTACATTGAATGGGCTAAGTCTTTTTTTTTTCCATCCTGGAAGTAGCTCTTGTACACCAGGTTGGTCTCGAACACACAGAGATCTGCCTGCCTCTGCCTCCAGAGTGCTGGGATTAAAGGCGTGCGCCACCACCACCCAGAGTGGGCTGAGTCTTTTTAAAAAAAAAATAAAAACCTTATGTTAGCAAAGTCTTTTCTTGTCAGAAACAACACGCTGTTGTAGGGTGTGACGGTACTTCCTGTGATGGACAATGAATTCTGATGTCCATGATTCTTTCCCAGCCAGTGATTCCACCTGGTTTGGAAGCCTCCCCTACCTCTGTGGTCCATGGAAACACTGTTGAACTCAGTGTCATATGGGAGCAAAAGAACAGGTGTTTCCAATGAAACTCTTCATCCAATGGAAGTTTCTGACCTGGAAAGCAGTGAAGTACAAATAGGTTTCCATCTACTCCTGGAAGACAGCCTGTGTCTTTGAGACACATTAGCTACCCTTTAGACTTTAGGGCCCTCAGACAAAACTTCTCATTACATTTCTAAAAACAAAAACCACAGGTACTAAAGGGAAGGTAGAGAGTTGTGAGAAACTAGAAATTGGCAATACACACATTCACATGCATGATAAGCAAGGAAGAGAATTTAAACTGTTCCAACAGCCCAGGCTACCATCCATGTGCATGGCTCCCACATGCCAAATGAGTCTTCTCCTCTCAAGGGCTCTGTGCAGAGAGGCATGAAGCTAATCTGTGTGAAACTGTATGATGAGCATGCTTGTTTAGAAAGGAGAGTCAAGAGCTTCAGAGGAGACTTTGGCCTACCTACTGTCTTCAGGGACAATAGGTACCTGAGGGAGCTGGATATACCTCAGCAGATGGGAAAATGTAAGGAAGTGAACCACTCACTTTAAGGCCATTCAGAAAGAAACGGAAAAGAGCAGAGGGTAAAGATGATCAGGAATTAAACACGCAAGGGCATTACACAGGAAATGAAAATAGCTGATCATTGCCTAAATTCAAAGGAGAGCTTCCACCGGAAATTTTACAGCTACTTTTTTAATTTAGAGAATATTCATTCAACTCATTAAAAAAAATTCTGTGGCAGCCTAATTAAGTAAACACAAGCTAGGATGCAGAGCTCCAAGAAAGGCATAGATGTATGGTGTATGCAATAAGACCACTCTAACTGATGGAAAGCAAAGTAATTAATTGTGTGTGTCAGGAGACCATCAGCAAAGTGAGTGGCTTAATGCTTAATGCAAGAGAAATTTATTGATCCAGTACTTCTAAAGGCAGTAAGCCCAAAGTCAGGATGTGACATAGTTGGTTACTTGTGGATTGTGCTGGATTTGGGAAGGGATCTAAATCCAATGACACATGTCCTTACTTTTAAAAGACAGAGTGAGGTCTGAGGGACAGAGACTTACAAAGCAAATGGGAACATAAATCCAAATAAGAGCTTAATTTGATATGTCTGCTGACCAAGGAAAGCTAAGTGACGGCTCACATCTACCCGAGGCAAGGAGCATGGCACAATCCCATTTTATTGCAAAGACTATGGGCACTAAGTCTTAAGACATAGTTTTATTGCCCACTACGTAGACATAATAGGCACCTTTTGTAACAAGATGGTGATTTTTAAGATAAGATTCATCAATGGGATGTCAAGGGATTCTGACACTGAACCCGACTGTGTGGGATAAAAAAACCGGTTCTGTTGCTTGGCAGGAAGTAAAAAGTCTGTGCCTTGGTTTTTCGTGGGAAGATGAAATAATGCTGTAATATGAGTTGAGGATTTTTAGGAGTTAAACGGGAAAACCTTCGAGGCTCATTCTGTATCTGCCATGTCTATGAAGCAGCATGCATTCCCATGGGTAGGTTTGGACCATGGTGTTGTCATACATGGGGGACATAGTGCAGAAAGACAAAAGTTCCTGTGGTAAGGGAGTGTCCCTGTCTAGAGACAGTGTTACAGTAAATTTTTAAAGAAGAGTGGCTCTCCTCCGCGTCTGGTCTATAGTTTTAGAATGTTTACCCTCTCGTGTTTCTCTAGAGTATATAGGAACAGAAGGCAATGTGGTGCAAAAACCTTTTGAAACATTAGTTTACCCCCCGAGTACTGGCTGTTTTCTCTACTGTAATCCACAGGGGGGCGCTATAGGAGCTTGGGGAACAACTGTTTTGAAAGTTTGTGCTGAATGATAGCAAAAAGGCATTTGTTAGTGTATTCAGTGAATTGTGCAAGAGACACCCTTAAGCACTCTGATACACTAACATGTCGATGGAGAAAATGGAAATGAATTATCTATAATACTAATTTTCCAATAGCATATGAAATGTTTCATTATGACATTTTTATACACATAAATCACTGTGTTTTGTTTATATCTACTCCCACTACCTTTTTCTCCCAATCTTCCCCACCCAATCTTTTCCTGTCTGCTCTTCCCCCTTCCTCTTTTACATATTTTTCCTTATGCTTTCATGCAAATATGTATGCTCTATGTCATATATATATGATCTAGCCCTACATATATTTAAATATAGACTCCAAATACAAGAGAAAGATGGGATATTTTACCTTTCTACCCTCCATGCTCCTTCTCATGTTTCCATCCTCCTCCTTCCCCAAAGTCCCCATTCTACATACATATTATAACCACATATGACAGAAGATGCACTGTTTACCTTTCTGAGTCTGGTTTATGTTGATTATCAGGTTGATTCCCAGTGCTGCTGCGCCCCACTCCCAGCACCGCCACCACCCACCATGGAGCTATTTAAAGTTCAGAGCTTATATAGCCCTGGAGATCATATGTAGTATCATAATAGTGGCTTATTAAATGTCTCAGTAAAGTAGTAAGTCTGCTCTTTTCTACTTTGGGGATGCTGGGGATAGGAGCCAAGCTGCAGGTATTCTTATACCGCTGGAGCAAACTGCCTTTCTAAGCAGTTTTGTGGATAACTGAAACTCTCAATATCCATTTTCAGACATCAGTTACCATCTAATCGAGTTCAGCAGGTATGTTTCTCTTTCGCTCGGAACTCTAACCAGTTTGCGATCCCTGTCTTTGATACCGGAGTCTTATGCCAAAGTTCTAACACAAGTTGCTGAGCTAGGTAATCATTAAATGCTACCAGAAATCAAATGCTTGAAGAAAAATTTACCAAACAATCTTTTCCCATTCTGGGGAGCTTCAAAGGGAACAACCCTGCCTTCCGTGTTCAGCGTGACCGAGAAGGATTGGCAAGCGTGTGCAGCTACCAAGCCTAGACCGGCAACAGACGGCCCCTGTGGACACGAATGGTGTGGAGTCTGGGTTTGCTGTAGTTTGGCCTCACCGAGCCTTTTCTCTACCCACAGGTGTGTGCCGAGGAGGGTTATGTTCGTTTGAGACCTGCGCATCAAGGATTGCTTGGTGTCAGCGAGCGTCTGCTGCTGGGTTTTCTGTCTGCCTTCTCGTCATGTCTAACGAAGTTGAAGCCAGCACGACCAATGGTCAGCCTGACCAACAGGCTGCCCCGAAAGCGCCATCAAAGAAGGAAAAGAAGAAAGGTGGGGGCGAGTGACTCCTGTTCGGCTGTCAAATGAGCTTACTCTCAAGTTCTAAGAAGGGAACTTTTTTTTTCTTTATTGGCAGAAGTGGTTGGCTTGTCTCATGTATGGCAGTCCTTGTCTCTGCACCTCTGATTATACCAACTTAGGTTCAGTTAGGAAAATTTTATGGCATTTTCTTTAATTATGTGGTTTTTTTATAATTATTTTGTTTAAATGCATGGTTAACTATACACCCATAACTATTGTGTAATTATCTTCCAGTGATCTCTTTACCATCTTGTTTTACTAGCACCACCAGTTTTGAAAAATCAAAACTTTTGTTTTCACTAAAACACTCTTGGCTTTAAGTACTAACTAGTGCTCAAGTCCTTAGTGTGCCAGAGCTGGAGAAGGGGCCTTGGGCTTCCTGCTCTGCTTTGGCTGCTGCCCTTCAGCTCCAGGAATGAGACAGCATGGGCCTTTTGAGGAGAGAAAAGGAAAGAAGGGATAATTATCCAATTACAGCCATGGTAATTTACCCTCAATTCGCTTTTGTTTTCTGATGGTTCAAAATGTTAGAAAATAGTTTTGTGCCTTATTTTCTTTTCTCTTTCATTAAAGGAATATGCCATTTGTCTAAAATTCAGTCAAAACATTAAAAAGGCTTTGATGAAAAGTATTCCCAACTCCCAATTAATGTGTTCTCATGAATTTCTCCTCTGCATTTTGTATCTTAAGGAAGTAGTTTTCTGATTTTTTTTCCTTTTACTCTCAATTCTATATTCAATATTGAGAGATTTTGCTCAAAAGAAGTAAGAATGAGACAGTGGAAATTCCATGTGTGACCAATTACTGTGTAAAGATTTATGCTATGGGGGGGGGGATGCTGAGCACATGTGATCATACCTAAGGGGGGCATTTAAATATGAGCTTTATTCTGCATTGCTTTTTACTTCTCAGGCTCCGAAAAGACAGATGAGTATCTGTTGGCCAGGTTCAAAGGTGATGGTGTAAAATACAAGGCCAAGCTAATCGGGATTGATGACGTGCCCGATGCAAGAGGAGACAAAATGAGCCAAGATTCTATGATGAAACTCAAGGTAAAGAAGCCATTATCTGTCTCAACCATGTGTCTAAAAGGGGATTCTATTAGCTCCCATCAACCCAAACGTTTCCATTCACATATTGATCCACCAGTGTTTTCCTTTCAGAGAAGTCGTTCATTACTTGAATCTGTTGAGTCTTGTTGTAGACTTCAAGAGTTGCAAGATGCTGGGTGCCTTTTCATTTGGGTAAACTCAGGATTCAGATGAGCAAAGCCCACCCCTAAACTCTCCATCATTAAATGATTTTAAAAGCCATGGGCAGTTGCGTGTGATATGTCTTATTCTGCATAGAAGACACGAAGCAGGGACTAGGAGGAGGACTCCATGAATAAGGTTCTTGCCTTTATTTAGATCTCCAGCGCCCACAAAAATGGTGCATCAGTGGGGCAGCCCATTTGCAAGCACAATCATCAAGGGCAGAGACAGTATTCCCATTGCTAGCTCAGCTAGACAATCTGTGAGCTCTGTGCTCAGATGAGTCCCTGCGTCAGTATATGAAGAAAAGATCAACCAAGAAAAATGTTTGCTAGCATCCTCTGGCCTCTATACACATGCGTACCGTGCACACACATACCCCAAAGTAATAAAAACTAAAAACATTTCAAAGAAGTCACAGAATGACTATTGGCTGAGAGAGTATGTGGATAAAATGCAGGACTGTACTTGGACACACCATTCAGTTTTTTGAATTTGTATGTCTGCATGTGTGTCCCTGTTCATGTGTATGTGTATATGTGTGCACATGATGTGACCGGAGGTTGACATTGAGTGCCTTCCTTAATTGTCCCCTACCTCATTCTTTGAGACAGAGTAGCTCACTGAAGCTGGAGCTTATCAATTTGGCTAAACTGCCTGACCACAAAGCCCCAGGGATCCTCCAGTCTCTGCCTCCCTGGCACTGAGATTACTGGTGTCTGCCATAGCATCCAACTTTTTATGTGGGGTTTTGGTGATCAGACTTGAGTCTTCATGCTTACATGGCAAACATTTACCAAGTGAGCCATCTTCCCAAGCCCAGTGTTTCAGAATTTTTCATTTTTATACTATGCTACTATGTGGACCTAATTAAATAATACAAGGTTTAGGAGCCATCGTGTGTGTGTGTGTGTGTGTGTGTGTGTGTGTGTGTGTGTGTGTTATAGACATTACATTTATGAGTTTGCATACACCAGGCAAGCATGCTTTCACAGAGCTACATCCCCATCCCTTGAAGAAATAACATATATCTTCTGTCCATTACCCTTGATCAAAAATGGCCCCTCCTTTCCCCGATGCCATCCAAGCTGAAAACAAAGCAGTTCGTCTTCCAAAGTTTTTGCCATCAAAAGTATTCTAGGATACTTTACCATCTATTTCCCTTATTCTCTCAATCTCTCCAGGGAATGGCAGCAGCTGGCCGGTCTCAGGGACAACACAAGCAAAGGATCTGGGTCAACATCTCCCTGTCTGGTATCAAAATTATCGATGAGAAAACTGGGGTAAGAATTTGTGCTTGCTAGCAGTAGCTGACCACTTGAGTCTGACCATGGTTGAATTCCTGTGGAAAATTTCCTTTTCTTCCTCAAATAGAGAAAAGAGTAATATCACACATGGCTTCTCTAAAATAGACAACAGGAAGAGAAGAATCAAGATATCCCATTTTGAAATTCATTTCCTATGAAGATGTGAAGAAGCCCCTAAACACAAGGGTGCCACTGTTGATGCATGCTATTTATTTTGAGTTTCAGACTAAACAAGGTTAATCTCAATACCTGACCTATTTCAATGGATTGCTGACGTGTGAATTTGGTGGCTAGTTCCAAACCTCTAGAATGTTTTTCATCTCTCTTTCAACCCTGTCTTTTTCCAACCTGCAGATGTCAACTTTTTTGGCTGCTGTTTTAGTTTTTTTGTGTGTGGGAGGGTGGCTATTGTTCTATCGCGTGGAATCAGTTTTGCTTCTTTTTCCTTCTTTAGTTTATTCTGGTCAGTACCCCAACGCTATAGTATTTCAGGTCTCCTGTGGCACTTTTCCCTTTATTCTATAAAGCGTTGTCATCTGTAACTCTGCTACTCATATCAAGTCAACATGACAAGATGTCTATTCATCCCTTCCAAGAGGCACCTGTTATCTAACATGAAAAATCTGCCTGCCAAACTTAGGGTGAGGGCCCCATGGTATATGCCCTCTCAGCTCTCTGGTTGTTAGTTCCTCGGGTATCATTGTCTTTTATCATTATCCTTCTGCCCTTAGTAACTTTTTATCTCAAGCCCCTCAGACAATAGTTGCCAGTTTCTCTCATAAGCATTATTTCTTTCTTTTCCAAACATGATCCCTTTGGCACATTACTATTCATTTAAAATGATAAATATAGATTCATAACATTTAAGAAACCATATGACATTTTAATTTGTTTCACAAAAGCTTCATTTGGCAAAACTGTCTTGGAGACTAAAGACCCGCTGTCAAATCAAACTCAACAGTTCAAGAGTATCTGTTGACTGATCTTTTCAGTGATCTTAGGCATTTGGAAATAAAATTCAAGACATATTTTGCCACCTACAGATTTCTTTCAAGAGTTGAACTCGTGTGCAGGCTAGAAAGGATCAAGAGAGATGGGGAAAATCAGAAAATAAACTAGAGTCTCTGTCACATTTCCTTCTCATAACAAGGTCCCTCCAGGACAGGGTGAAAATGCTTATCGGCTGCATTTCATAGCTTGAGGGTTTACTGGGTTCAGTCGTTTCAATAAAATACGGGAGCCCTCTGGACAGTTCTCCAGCTTAGGCTGTTCATTTAAGTTTGTCATTTAGTTAAGAAGTTGGACCTACTTGAGTTTTGTTTGACTTCAGTTTTTCATCTTGCTGTTTATTGTGGTAATAACTCTGATTTTGGTATGTGCTCACTTGGTTGTTCAGTTGGTCAGATACTATCTTTTTGTGCTGCCTAGGCTGGTCTTGAACTCATAGGGTAAACTAATGACCTGTCTAAATCTCCCAGGGACTATAAAGGTCACAACACACCCAGATTCACTTGATTACACTTTAGAAATTTTTGAATTCCTCTCAGTCTTTCCTTGTGCATGGCATTATGTCTTTTGGATAGAATGAGAGTCAAGTACTTAGATTTTTAGAAAAAATGATCTTCTACTTTTGTTTTCTATTAACTCTTCCTTTTGGAGCCCTTTCTAGCAGAAATAAATCAGATCCAGCCTTGAACCAAAGACTAAAAGGTCTTCCTTCAAAGGCTTTAAACTCTTGTGTATGCCTTCTTTTTTTAAATTTTTTTATGATTTATTTATCTTTATTTTATATGCATTGGTGTGAAGGTGTCAGATTCCCTGGAACTGGATTTTCATACAGTTGTGAGCTGCCATGTGGGTGCTGAGAATCGAACCCGGGTCTGCTGGAAGAGCACTCAGTGCTCTTAACCACTGAGCCATTTCTCAGCCCTGGTGTATGCCTTCTTATAGCCTTCTGATAGACAGCTGTGCTAGCCAACAAGTCTGTATCACTCACTGTTGTTCTTTTACGTTCCCTTTCTAGGTAATAGAGCATGAACATCCAGTAAATAAGATTTCTTTCATTGCTCGTGATGTGACAGATAACAGAGCGTTTGGTTATGTGTGTGGAGGAGAAGGCCAGCATCAATTTTTTGCCATAAAAACTGGCCAACAGGTAAGCTCTAAGACATAGTACACATGAGGACTAGACTTCTGTTGAGAATAGGGGTGCTTGTTTCTTAACAAGAAGAATTACTCGAAACAATTCATTAAGTCACTGGTTCTTTAGGTCAATCACCCCTCAGACCATGACTTATGCCTAAAGAATCTATTTAAAATGTCACTGATACTCACATGTGTGGCAAAGAAATTGTGAAGATAGACTTTCTAATAATGCTACTAATAAATTTAGAATAATGTTGAATTATTCCCAGAAACCTTGAAGAAACTCAGACTGTCATGGTTCCTCTTGTTTTGTCTTGAGAAAAAAATTCTAGTGTGATAAATATATTCTTAACGGTGGTGAAACATTTATTAACCTTGTATCCTTTAGTTATCTGAGGGTGGTGATCCTCTATAATCCAGAAGATAATTATAAGGAATCTCAATAGGAAATAGAAAGTATTAATGGTAACTGAGTGTGGTCAAAGAGTAAAGCTGAGAACAAAATGCTGTTAACCCTTTCTGTTGCTTCAGGCTGAACCTTTAGTCGTCGATCTTAAAGACCTTTTTCAAGTTATCTACAATGTAAAGAAAAAGGAAGAAGAAAAGAAAAAGGCAAGTTCTGTTTGATAGAAGTTCTGCTGGATCAATACTGTACTCAGGGTCTATTTAATGTCGTATTCATAAGCCCTGTCTGAAGAGATGGACTTCTTTCAAGTATAGACCTGTCTGTCGTTCTTAGCAGGGCAATTTTCTGGGTCCCTGTAACATTCACTTTAGTTAAAGGACTTGACAGAGCAACCTAGCTTAAATCTGGAAATCTAGTATCTATGTGAAGGGGGAAGTGGAACATATAGCAAACTATACAAGACTCCCCCCCCCCCAACTATGAATCTGGCAGTCTTTGCTCCTGTATTAACTCTCATCCCAAATCCCAAGCTCAGTGAATCTGTGTCTTTCTTTTTAGGTCGAAGAAGCTAGCAAAGTGGAAGAGGTAAAGCTGCTTCTTTACTTCTCTTGTGATGTGTGTGATGTGTGGAAGCCATGCTGACTCCATGCAAGAGCATTCTCCCCTCCTGACTTGATCCTCTGGGCTAGTGACCACTCTTTTCATGGAAGCTCATTAGCTAAAGTTATTTGAGATTGAGCTATAACAGCTTCGTGGAATAGTCAGGTGTGGAAATGAATGTTATGGGGTGACTTCATCAGTTCAAATCCTTTTAATAATTGCTTGTTATTTTCAGAATGGGAGTGAGGCCCTAATGACCCTTGATGATCAAGCTAACAAACTGAAGCTGGTATGTTTGGGATGTTTTGTGATCCTTTGAACATGGGTTTCTACCTCCTGCAAATGTTGCTAATACTGGACCTATATTGAATCCGTAGTAAAATTCAATTAGGACAAGTATTTTCCAATACATTCAAATAATATCTACGTTAGTCTACCACACAGTCTTCTGAGTAGATCAGCAGACTCTAATATAGTTCCTCTTTAAGGTGTTCACCAGAGTGATGCGCTTGGAGACAAGCCTTCGCTTTCTGACATATGGAGCTTAATATCAAATCTGTGTGAAATCAATTGCAATCCAGTTGTAACAACTATTTCCCGTAGTTTAGTACACAAACAATTACAATGATAGACAAAGTCATTGTTTGTAGTAGACCCATCTGAATCTAATCCAAATACTTTTTTAAGGGTGTTGACCAGATGGATTTGTTTGGGGACATGTCTACACCTCCAGACCTAAATAGTCCAACAGTAAGTGTTTTGCTTTTAAATTTGCAATGTAATTGAAATAACATCTATAATCCCAAATTTACAATTAACTAGAAAGATTGAGCATTTCATGGCAACTTGGAATGTCTTGACTTTTCCTCATGAAATAGAAGTGGCTACTAGAAAGATCATTTGATTCTTAAGTCACCATAAGAAGCGACCACTACTAATTCAGATATATTAATATAACATAGAGGTTAAATATGTGCTACTACCCAACCATTGTGCTTCTTCTTGGTAATAATTTGGGATCAGAAGGAAAGACTGAATTATAATTCTTGGCATAAGTCTACTTGAAAGGAGTATATGTGTTAAATGATAAATCCTAAATTGTTTAAGTTTCTTTATTTCTTTTTCTTTTCATTTTTTGCAATTCAGCAGCATGAGTTTGACATGAAATAAGAGTTAAACAAGGAGCCAGGCATGGTGGCTCATGCCTTTAGTCCAGGCACTCAGGAGGCAAAGTCAGGCAGATCTCTGTGAAGTTGAGGCCAGTCTGGTCTACAAAGCAAGTTCCAGGACAGTCAGGGCTGCACAGAGAAACCTTGTCTTGAAAAACAATAAACAAACAAACAAAGAGTTAAACAAGGTTCATCTTATGATTAACAAAAGTCTTTTCATTTAGAAAATTGCGAGTTTTTATAGAGCATTACCATAGAGCAAGTCTTCTCAATATTAACGAATCCGTGTCAGTCATGTGAGCATATAGCAATATTTTCCTTTATTGATATGAAAATATTGATCCAGAAAAAAAAACCTCATTTATGCTCAGATTTAAGGTCATATTCTTCAGATCTTCTATAAAACAGGCCTCACACAGAAGTAGTCACGTCCTTTTGAATCAACGTTTGTTATTTATATCCTAGTTTCCTGAGCACCCGCTATTGGCAAAGCATAGTGGCAAGAAAGACACATGTTAGTGTTACCATCAACCATTCTGTCTAGCAGGGACAGTGTTGAGACTAGTGACAAAGCCAAGGGAATGGTGCTCACCAAACATGCAGGCTCAGATAATGTTTCTTTTTATTTATTATGTATTCAGTGTTCTGCCTGTGTGTATCCCTGCGAGACAGAAAGAGGGCACCAGATCTTATTATAGATGGTTGTGAGCCACCAGGTGGTTGCTGGGAACTGAAGTCAGGACCTCTTAACCATTTCCCCAGCTCCCATTGTCCTGCCCCATAATGTTTCTAAGGAAGGGAGTTAATAACTTGAACACCAAGGATAAGAAGGCAATAGCTAGGCAAACAGTAAATTATTGCGTGTAGAATGGAGGAAATGTTTGCATAAGACTCTTTAAATCAGGAAATTATCAAGTAAGTTTTTATGATGTGCAGAAGATCTCAGGAACTGAAGTGAATCAGAGAGAAACTGGGAAGGATTCTCACTTCCCAGAATACTACAGAGAAGCCCAGCATGTGCACCCTCACTGCATAAACCCACAAGTCCGCTGAAGGATGGACTGTGTACACTCTTCTCTGTACCCATGAGTGAAAATCACACTGCGCAGCATCATAAAGTCCTTGCAGAGCCTACAATAGAGGAGATAGAACTCCTGGGTACTCTTCCAGAGTGAGTCTTTCCCCTCTTGCTTGTCCATGGAACTTTCGTTTTTTATAATCTTTCTTAGCGTTTTCAGGGCAAGATTTTTTTTTTTTTTTTTTTTTTTTTTTTGGTTTTTCGAGACAGGGTTTCTCTGTGGTTTTGGAGCCTATCCTGGAACTAGCTCTTGTAGACCAGGCTGGTCTCGAACTCACAGAGATCCGCCTGCCTCTGCCTCCCGAGTGCTGGGATTAAAGGCGTGCGCCACCACCGCCCGGCTTCAGGGCAAGATTTTTGAAATCTTAGGCTAGCTAATGCTGGAAGGAAGGACCATCCTAGTTCTGGGCTCTTTTGGATCTCTCAACAGTCTTGGCAATTCTTTATTAGGAGATAAAAGAAATCAATATCTGTACAATCATCTTTCAAAGTGACACACCGAAATGGGCCCTCCAAGAGAGTGGAAAGCTCATGAGACACAAGTGGAATTGCAGAAGAAGCAAGAAGGCACTTAGTGTTTAATTGACTTTTGTGGACTTCTGAAGCATTCTGTCATACCAAATGAAAAACAGCATGGATGATCCTTATTCTTATACTAGAGTTCTCACAAACTAAAAATGTTTTATTTGTAGAAATTCAAGTTTTAGTTTAAAAAAATAAGTTAAGATGATAAATTTAATTAAAGTAGATACTATCTGGTAAGTTTTTAAAAAAAATGGTTAACAGGGCTAATTATATGTTGGCTAGACATTGCCAACATATTCTGTTGCATTGAATCCATATGCAGAGGTCACAAAATAGATGTTTCTCTGACTTATAAAATTAGCATGCTTCAGAGTTTTTCAACTTTTACAACAACTGCTCTGGAAAATGTAAAGTATAGAAAAATATCTAAATTAGACTCTCTCCATTATCCCTGGTGGCTATGGCTCCTCCCAAACTGATGAACAAAACTTTTATGCACTTCAAATAATATGTTGACATCTTTTAGAACTTAAATTTTTTTGCAAAATTACTGGAACATTATGTTTCATGGTGCTTTAGAAATAAAGAGAAAGGGGGGAAGAAGGAGAGGGGAGACAGTACAGAGACACAGAGACAGGAAAAAAGACTACAGAAAATGATCCACCATCATAGAGGTTAAACCTGGCATAAGAGGATTAGATTTGGGTAAGAAGTTTAAATAATATGTGTATGTATACACATTTATACCCCCAGAAATGGCATGGGGTAGATGCAGGTAAAACTGAAATAGAAATATTAATAAGAAAAGTATAAAGAAAACTCTGAAGTAGAGCTGGTCACCGAAGGGTAGAGAGCAATAGACAGTAGCTAGGGTAAATCAAGTGGGGTTCTGCCATGTAGCATTCTGAAAGTGGCTCTAAAGACACTGGTTTTAATGCACGTACGGAATGGCAGGAAGCCAACAACAGGGTTGAGGCCTCAACTAGTAACCATCTCTGGGAGGCTAGCTACCCAGAGAAGAGCTGTAGATCTGTGTCCCAATGTTGCCATCTCCACACCCCCTTGCAGAAGTGGCTTGAGCCACTTCCACGTCTGTCTGAGGTGCTCAGGTGGTAGCCCAGCGGGGTGCTGACAGTCTCCAAAGCACTCCGGAAGTTCTGACTGTGGGAATAGATGAGCCTTCCCTCCATCCAGTCTAGTCTTTTACTTATACTCTTACGCTTGGATCGACAATAGCCCTGACCTGAGGAGAGCCTTATACATTTTGCTCGTAGGGTGACTCTTCAGAAGTCTAAAACTATGGCTCCTGTTTGGTGTCCTAAGACCTTGTTCTGAAGTGTCTGGAAAGGAGAACTCTACCAGCTGGGAACACCCAACCATGCTAACCTAGAGGTGGCTTTTAGAAATACTGAAATCAAGCTTCCGGAATGCATCTTATCCCACCTTTTGATTGCTTAAAGATCCACTCATTAAGAAGCCTTCCAATTCATTTGTTTGATTAAAAGCTTTTCAATTTAAGCTCTTTCTTGTGATGAATTCTTCTAGGTATAAAAAGACAACCAGGCTTTAAAAAAAAAAAACAAAAACAAACAAAAAAGCAAAACCTGATTTCATATTTTCCAGTAAAGAAAGTAAAAAGAAAAAAATACAGCTTGAAAACCTGATTTTGTGGTCTCTTCTATGGTCACAAAAGAGAAACAGGACTTTTTTCTTTTCTTGAAAAGACAGAGACTTTTGAATGTTTTTTATCCTTATTAGTTGAAGAAGTTCAGATTTCTTTTGAACTGCTCTTGTCCCCGTGATGAAAATGGTACTCTACCCAGGTTACCACTAGATGTCTACTTTAGCTTCCTTCCAGCTGGGCAATGTTTATTGTTTATAGTCTATGGCTGGCATAGTTAAGTATTTAATGGATCAAAATCAGACAAAAGTCTTTCCCAGTGTCTTAAATCGCAATTACTTATAAATTAGAATAAAAACATGTCAAATTGATCAAACTGGTAGCTTTGATGCTAACAATTTTCATAAAACAAATGAAGAAACTGGGTAATTAACATCTATATTTTTCTGATGGAATAGAGAAAAAGGGGAATTAGCAGATTTATGCGTTTTGCATAGTTTGACGATTGCATCCTAAACCCTCATTAAAACCCTCTTAGTTATTAGCTAACTGACTTCAATGCTAAATAGGCAAGATCACTCCCACAATACAGGAAATCAGGGCAAAATATTGAAAATATGTACATTGACATGAGGTTACTGTGTAATTGATTAGATGTGCACAGTATTTTGAGTGTCACATACAGAAGAACACACACAAAAGGTGTGTCCAAGAAGGGATGAGGATGGCAAAGTTGAGAGGTCCAACTTGGCCATTACCATTAGTAAGATCTTAGTTCTTTCAAAAAGTCAGACTCACAGACCGAGATAAAAATGAAGTATCTCGTTTTTCTCTCTCAACCGACTTTAAGTTTGTCACAGCCGTAGCCATGGAATCTGGAACTGTGGAGTATAACTTAGTGGTGGTGGAATGCCTGAGATACGCAAAGCCCTGGTTTAATTCCCAACACCATACGCACACAGTACACATATGAATATTAACCAAGAATTTGCTCATTTAGAGAGGGAATGTTAGAGACTTCTGGAAAAGGACTATGAACTGCGTGTTTCACAGGTAGCAAGCTGGACTAGGTATTTGAAATCCATTCATAGGTTCAAACAGTATATTCAGATAAGCATTTAGAGTGAGTCCCAATTAATTCAAAGATGTCACTTAAACCAACGCAGATAATGAACCTAGCCCATCTGAATGTATAGACTAAGGAGAGGATGAATTTAATAAGATTTCACTGAAGGAAGGGCAGACCCCAGGGGAACTTACAGCTCACAAGCTGAGTGAGGAACTAATTCCCAGCGAGTAAACACTCTGGGGTTCTTGGGAGATGGTAATAGTCCCAAATTCTAATAGGAACCCCGGTAATCCTTGTCATTTTGATGTAATTTTCTCATGTGAAGTTATAACATGGACTAACACTGTCTCTCTCTCTCTCTTTTTTTCCCCCAAATGTGCTAGGAAAGCAAAGATATCCTGTTAGTGGATCTAAACTCTGAACTCGACACCAATCAGAACTCTTTAAGAGAAAATCCATTCTTAACCAATGGCGTCACCTCCTGTTCTCTCCCTCGACCAAAGCCTCAGGCATCCTTCTTGCCTGAAAATGCCTTTTCTGCCAATCTCAACTTCTTTCCCACCCCTAATCCTGATCCTTTCCGTGATGATCCTTTTGCACAGCCAGACCAATCGGCACCCTCTTCGTTTGATTCTCTCACATCTCCAGATCAGAAGAAAGCGAACCTGAGTAGCTTGTCTACTCCGCTGAGTAAAGGGCCCCTGAACGGTGATACCGATTACTTTGGTCAGCAATTTGACCAGATCTCTAACCGGACTGGCAAACAGGAAGCTCAGGCAGGCCCGTGGCCCTATCCAAGTTCGCAAACCCAGCAAGCAGTGAGAACTCCAAATGGGGTATCTGACAGAGACCAGAACGGCTTCCATATCAAACCTTCCCCGAACCCTTTTGTGGGAAGCCCTCCCAAAGGACTCTCAGTACCGAATGGCGTAAAGCAGGACTTGGAAAGCTCTGTCCAGTCCTCCGCGCATGACTCCATAGCCATTATCCCACCTCCACAAAGTACCAAACCCGGAAGAGGCAGAAGGACTGCTAAGGTGAATTGTCTTTTCTGCATCCCCATTAGCAGAGTGCATGCTCAATACCAAAGGGTGGTGTGACGCGAGCTCTCTTCCTGGCTGCTCTTTTAGTTTCCCTGTGTGGCTGTGAAGTAGAAGGTGGGATGAGACACACCGACCCTCCAGGAATATGCCCCTCTCTAGTCAACATTCCTCCTCCGCTTCCTGGCAGTGTTGGTCACATCTGCTTTCCATTTGCATGTCTTGTCACTTAATACTAAACTAAACACAAGTTGTTTTTTGTTTTCCATTGTTAATGCTGCTATGCTTCTGTGCCTCTGGTAAGTTTGATTGTCACGTTCTGGGACGGGAGGGGGAGAGGTCTTGTGATTCCCTGGGTCCTGCCCCCACACTAACACACCCGGCACACCCATCATCACGGATGTCCACGGTGGCGGTATATAAAAGTCTCCAGTCTGTCTCCTCTTTTAAATGTAAATGTTGATTTAATAACCCATTGACTTAGAAGCTCACACAATCACTATTACCAGCTCCCTCCGTGCAAAAGCAACTCCAAGTGCAGTGTCTGTAGGCGATTCCTCAAAGCTCTCATAGGAAGGTGCAGACTTACCTAATGCTGAAGGTAGTTGCATCTCTATGGAAACTGATTTAGATCTAATGGAATGATAGAAAATTATTTAGGATACTTATGCTGCCCTTCCTTTCCCAGCTGCAAATTTTCGCCAAGGAGACCAGACTGACATCAAAGGATAAAATAAGAAAAATAGATTTTATTTTGCAAGTCCAGGTGGTATAATCCATTAATCTGCTCACTACAGCCATCTTATTCCCACCCCACACACCTCACCTTTGCTCTTTTATTTGCTAGTAGACGTAATCATTTGCCAGTGATAAAAGACTTTCCTTCATGGGGAGGTTAGCTTTGGGGTAAAGAGTAGGAGACAGATGTGTCTACCTCTGGCCTGAGTAACTCTTCTCCCTCCTTCCCCTCCTTGTCAGTCTTCAGCAAATGACTTGCTTGCCTCAGACATCTTTGCCTCAGAACCTCCAGGCCAGACGTCACCCACAGGACCACCTGCAGCCCCACAGACCAACCCTTTGGATCTCTTCAAAACAAGCGCTCCTGCCCCGATGGGGCCCCTTGCAGGTCTAGGTATGTTCCCAGGGATGGAATCAGATGTGGCTTTGCTACTGTCACCCACAGTGGTGATGCACAGGAGGAAGGCACTTCCTGTGGTTGTGGCATCGCAGGGGAGGCGTCCAGCAACGCTCCCCTCACTTTAACCCCTGCACAGACCACATCCCGGTGACATTCCTGCCTGGTAACTGGAATTCAGCTCTCTGCGCTGCCCCGGGACAAGAAGTCCATTTTCAGTATTGCATGACCCTGAACAGCTGGCAGTGGCTTTCGGGAGACAGTTGTAAGGGATTCTGAAGTCAGACTGGCTTCAATGGTGAAAAGGAGATGAACTGAGGGAGCCTTGTGTGCTGTCTGTGCAGCAGAAGCAGGGCCATGCATGCTTTCCATACCATTTGCCATGATAGGTGGAAGTCTGTCTCTTCTCGAGGCTCAGCTCTTCTTATGTGCCCGGAAGCGGGTGTTGGTTAAGCGGGAAGCAAGGCTAAATCATAAAGTCAAAGTCTGGGCTCAGCTCTGCCCCTAGCTCTAAGTAGGCAGGGAATGGTCACGGATTCTGATCTGTTTTTGAAGACTTGCCCCATAGCAATTCAATAATGAGTAATTTTTCTAGAAGAGCATCTAAGTAGATCTAGGAAAAAAGTAAAGCTAGAAAGAGTGTAGATGGATTTTTCTTAGACAGTGGGATGTGCTGGAGGTTAAAATCTGTTTCTGACTTTTTGGCTCCCCTGAGCCTTTGCTGCCGGATGATGGTAGAAGCAAGCACATTGACTGAATTCTGGTCCTGTTACTCCTCCTCCACAGCCTCAGGTTCTTTTCAGGCTTTATAGCTCAGTTTCAGAACCCCCAACAATAGTCTGTGCCATCCTGCTGGGGGTTCCATTTGTTGGCTTGCTTCTTGGCACCTGTGCAAACCCAAAGAGAATCTACCTTGGGAGGTGGGGGACCAAGGATCAAGGAGGACTCTCTGTTCCTTTAGTAAGATCTGAACAGAGATCATGGCTTTCCCTACCCTCTACAGAATCAGTCACCAAGATCCCTTTTCCTCCTTTATTTCCCATCTTCTCTCCTTTGCTGTTTTCCTGCAAAGAGGAGAATGTCTGTCTCCCACAGTAAACATGTCTGGAGCAGGGCAGAGAAGGCAGCTGTCACCAACGCTGAGTGGTTGAAATCCAGGTGAAGGTGGGAAGTCAGTGAGTTCCAGGCTTCTGCTTGATGTTAGAACACCCAGAGATACTCAAAATACACTGTGCCTTTCAGAAGCTGCCCTTTCTGGCATTGCTCTTTTCCCTATGCCCACAGTGAAGCAGCTGGTGTCTTTTCCTTCATAGAAAGGCAGAGAACTTGCATTCAGGGTCTGTGACTAGATCACATCCCAGAGCTCTGGAGTTTCCTATCAATGCCTTGAAGAATTCTAGCAGCCAATATTTAACAAGTCAGCCTGAAGATACAGCTGGACCCTATAACTGTTAATTTATTCAGACGAAGTGAAGCCTTTTGGCGATATGCCCCTGTTGAGGCCTTGGGGTCTACAACGGCAGAATACTGATGATTCTTCCAAGTTTGGACATGGAACTCAAACTGAGCCCCACAGTGTAGCCCCTGTCCATTGGCAGTGATCCTCAGCCAAAGCCTGGAAGGTTGTAGGTCTGGCTTCCGCTGGACCCAGCTGGGGGACTGCCTCCTCTCGAGATCTGGGGCGGGGGGGAGCAGGGAGAAGGGACTACAGGAAGCTGAGCCCTCTGCTTTGATTTGAACCCTGTGTTTTGATCTAGATTCAGAAGGTAATAAAATTAATGCTTTATGCCTGCACTCTCTTTTTCCTCAGTCCTTGCCCCTGCTTTCTCCAGCTGGGCCATAAATGTTTTAGAAACATAATGGGCGGTCTCTGGGAGATGGGAATGAAGGCTGGCACAAAAGCAGACTTACCAAGCACTTACTTCATAGCAAATGAAATATTTTTTTTCTCTTTTACAAATGGCACTCCCATTGATACTATCTATGACTAGAGTTCAGAGTTTTGCAAGGAAAGGCAAGTAATTCAGGATGAAGGATGGTAAATGGGGGCTTCCTTTTATATCTTTATTTTTGCACTTCGCAATGGTTGAAATGATTAGGAAATGACCCTTCCATTCACAACACTAATGTGTTTTGAAATATTGTCACTTACTTTGTCTAAATTAAACCCTGTTTTTTAAAAAGACAAATAGCTGTGCTTTTATTAATCTTGAGAAGTAATTCAAACATAATCAAAATTAAAAACTTTTACCTACACATAAATTATATTACTCTAAGATCTTACAGATCGAACTCTTGCAATGCATCTGCACAAACATAAATTTAACTTTCACAACAGCTATGTGAGTTAAGTGTTTCTTCTCTTTTTTTTCTTGATTTTTATTAAGCTCTACATTTTTCTCTGCTCACCTCTCCCCCTCCCCTTCAACCCTCTCCCAAGGTCCCCATGCTCTCAATTTACTCAGGAGATCTTGTCTTTTTCTACTTCCCATGTAGATTAGATCATATATGCCTCTCTTAGGATCCTTATTGTTGTCTAACTTCTCAGGGAATGTGATTTGTAGGCTGGTTTCTTTGCTTTATATTTAAAAACCACTTATGAGGGAGTATATGTAATAATTGTCTTTCTGTGTCTGGGTTACCTCATTCAAAATGATGTTTTCTATCTCCATCCATCTGCCTGCAAAATTCAAGATGTTGTTATTTTTTCTGCTATGTAGTACTCCATTGTGTAAATGTACCACATTTTTTTTATCCATTCTTTGATCGAGGGGCATTTAGGTTGTTTCTGAGTTTTGGCTATAACAAACAATGCTGCTATGAACATAGTTGAGTATATGTCCTTGTGACACAATTGAGCATCCTTTGGGTATATACCCAAAAGTGGTATTACTGGGTCTTGAGGAAGGTTGTTTCCTAATTTTCTGAGAAATGGCCACACTGACACCTAAAGGGGCTGTACCAGTTTGTACTCCCACCAACAATGCAGGTGTTTTCCCCACAACTTCTCCAGCATAAGTTGTCATCAGTGTTTTTGATCTTGGCCATTCTTACAGGTGTAAAATGGAATCTGAGTTGCTTTTATTTGAATTTTTCTGATGACTAAGGATGTTGAGCATTTCCTTAAGTGTCTTTCAGCCATTTTAGATTCCTCTGTTGAGAGTTCTCTGTTTTGGTCTGCACTCCATTTTTTTTTTAAAAATTGATATTTTGATGACCAGATTTTTGAGTTCTTTGTATATTTTGGATATCAGACCTCTGTCTGAAGTGGGGTTGGTGAAGATCTTTTTCCATTCTGTAGGCTGTTGTTTTGTCTTGATGACCATGTCCTTTGTTTTACAAAAGCTTTTCAGTTTCAGGAGATCCCATTTATTAATTGTTTCTCTCAGTGTCTGTGCTACTGGGGTTATATTTAGGAAGTGATCTCCTGTGCCAATGCGTTCAAGTGTACTTCCCACTTTCTCTTCTATAAGGTTCAGTGTGGCTGGCTTTATGTTGAGGTCTTTGATCCATTTGGACTTGAGTTTTGTGCGTGGTGATAGATATGGATCAATTTTCATTCTTCTACATGTTGATATCCAGTTATGCCAACACCATTTGTTAAATATGCTTTCTTTTTTCCATTTGGTAATTTTTACTTCTTTGTCAAAAATCAGGTGTTCGAAGGTGTGTGGATTAATATCCAGGTCTTTGATTCGCTAAACCCACTTTTAAGGCTTAATAAGAGAAGCCATGTCACAGTTTCTGTGAATGTGTCCCATAACGCAAATAAGTCCTGGCCCCCATGTGTCTGTGAAGTTAGTGTGTGAATTAGCTCCCCATTGCACAAGTAATTGTTTCTTGTGCCTTGCTGTGAAGAGGCCAAAATGGGAGACAAATGTGCTGGGGTCAGGGCCAAGGTACATGAGTTTACCCCTATGGGCACGGACTGTGAGCTTTCATTGTCTGATTATATATGTTCCTGATTCTGTTTCCTCAATGAGAAATGTTGATCCAGTAAGGTGGCCATTCTACGGGAGTGGAGCAGGTGTGCTCCTGACCAGATGCCAGCATTCATGATAAGAAAAAGATCAAAAGAGAGGACTCTATAACAGCCCCTCACCCCATTTCAAAATTCTTCTCACTCTGGGGGAAAAAAACCAACAGCAATAAATCTTTTCTATCCCAAGTTTGAAGCCTTTGCTTGGTTGGATTAGAAAATGAAGAGTGAGAGAATGTTGTGCTCTGACCCTCAGAACAGGTAGCACCATCCGTGACTGAGGGTGAGGCTGGACTGGAGTTAGCGGATGGCTACTGCAGAGAGAATGAATGTCCCGTGTTAGAACAGGATGCATGGCATGGATCCGCCTACGGAAGAGAGACTGGAGAGGTCTGGGTTCTCATGAGGCAACTGCATCCTGAGGAACATGACAGGGACGCAGGCCCTGGAGATAAAACTCTGACAGGAGACCACAGTTATCCACAAAGGGGCTGCTTCTCCTGTCTTCCAACTACTCCACTCTAACTTCGTCTAGCAAGTGACACAAGGCAGGAAACACTTTTATTGGAAGCAGCCATCCTGGGCTAATAGTCTTTCTTCCGTTTTTATGTGTAAAGTTTAAACTATGTGGATCTCAGCTATGTTTTATCTTCCCTTTATGGAGCTGTGTCAAGTCTGACAGCATTAAAAAAGGAGGGACCCTTTAAAACAGGAGAGATGCTTTTGGAGAACTTGTGTCCCTCCATGATAACTGGCTCCCAGAAGTCCTCAGCAGCAGCCAGCTGTTAAATGCAAAAGCTAAATAGTGATTCCACAGTGAACTGTCTTAATTAACTGCTTGATCGTCACTGATTTGCTTGCTTATACACTCGACAACTCAGTTCTTACTGTCTGCAAGTTCTGTTCAGGGTGTTGGAGGTTCATCGATGCATTTTTGGTAAGCATCCATGTATTCATGATTAGGAACTTACAGGATGTATTTACTCTTCTAACGAGGGAAGACGTGTGGTGGAAAGAACAAGCAACAAGCATTCGAATTCCAGCTAAACGGTGTGAATGAGTTAACCGTCAGAATTATTTAATCTCTTGAAGCCTTTATTTCTGAGTCAGATTCAAAACTTCACAGAGTAGTTTGCCCTGGGAGTGGTCTACAGATACAGCCAGAGAGTCATGCTTCTTAAAAATCAAGAATTCTTGTCAAAGACAGCCAAAGTATGTTATCTGGATGTTTGAAAAATCACAATTAAATTCATGATTTTATACAATTAGTACATTATTATAAAAATAAAGTAATTCTCTTCAAGCTTGCCTCTTGATGACATATCTCTCCCTCTTCCTTCAGGGGGTGTTCCAGTAACACCCCCTCAAGCAGGACCTTGGGCACCTGTCGTCTTCAGTCCTTCTACAGCTGTGGTCCCAGGAGCCATAATAAGCGGCCAGCCTTCAGGTTTCGGTCAGCCGATCGTTTTCGGTACAACCCCAGCGGTTCAAGTCTGGAACCAGCCTTCGTCGTTTGCGACCCCAGCTTCCCCTCCAGCCCCCGCAGTCTGGTGCTCAGCTGCACCCGTGGCACCACCCAATGCTTGGTCATCCACAAGCTCCCTGGGGAATCCTTTCCAGACTAACACCTTTTCACCTCCTGCCATGCCCATTCAGCCCTCGCCTGCGCTGCCCTCTGTGGCCACGCCTCCTCAGCCACCTCCCAGAAATGGGCCGCTAAAGGACATTCCCAGTGATGCTTTCACTGGCTTAGACCCACTCGGGGACAAAGAAGTCAAGGAAGTGAAGGAAATGTTTAAGGACTTCCAGCTGCGGCAGCCACCTGTACCCTCAAGGAAGGGGGAGACACCGGCCACAGGGACTTCGAGTGCCTTCTCCAGCTATTTCAACAATAAAGTTGGCATCCCTCAGGAGCATGTAGACCATGACGATTTTGATGCCAATCAGCTGTTGAGCAAGATTAACGGTAAGTTTGCTCACTTATCTGCCGACTAATGTTTCAGCTGCCTTAAAGTCCCACGGGGAACTCAGAGGACCCTTCTGTTTTCATCAGTAGCCAGCCTCCTGCTTGCTGTGGAGTTCGGGTCTCTGGTGGTAATTTAACCATTCCTTTTACCTCCGCCAATCCCAAGGACTGGCCCAATGCTGCCCCCCAGTGACCGTTTTTGAAAGGGCTTCTGAGAGCTATAGAAAGGGCATTTGGAGAGCTGAATAGGTAATATAGCCCCCATTCATGGCCAACAAGCAAGGAACATCTGAGTCTTCCACTTTAGATAAAGTATAAACGTAGCTCTCTATCCTGATAGATGAACAGAGTCCTGGTATGTGAGGTGAATTTTTTTTCTTTCACCGGTGTAAAGAATTAAGTTTCAAAGGTAAGCCAGTCAGGGAACATATGTGCGAGCAAAACCTGTCTACTAACTGCTTGGGTCCCTTGCTTTCCAGAACCACCAAAGCCAGTTCCCAGACAGGGTCTCCTCTCGGGTACCAAGTCTGCTGACAATTCACTTGAGAACCCCTTCTCCAAAGGATGCTTAAGTTCATCACAGCCCCCCGTAAGTACTGAATCCTAGAAGAGCATGCCACATACCCCTGCAGCTTCCTGAATCTACCTGCCCCATGCAACAACTCTTTGCTGGGAATGCCTATTTGCCTATGAGGTGTTCTTAGGAATCTTCACAGTGTGAACATACAGTCAAGCTGGAGCAAGATTGTCTTTCATAGGCTTTCCCATCTCCTGAACTTGAGGAATAATACTATCAGAAACCTCCTCTTGGATTTCACTGAACTGGTCTTGTGAAAACATGGGAGAAGCAGAATCAAAATAGTCTCTTAAAGACCTTTAAAGATTAATTTTTAATCTCCCATCAATAGTTCTATACCTCTTCCAAGCAATTCTTCCAAGCAGAGGGAAGCAAATGCAAAGTCTCCACAGCTTTGACTTTGAACAAACAATATGTACTATCATCTTCTAGCAAGTAAGACAAAGGTCACTCTAGACACGTACAATGTCTGATTGGCTTATGGCCCAAGTCAGTAGTTCTCAACCTATGGGTTGTGAACTTTTGTGGTTGACTGGCCCTTTCAGAGGAGCCACATGTCAGATATCCTGCATATCAGACATTTATATTATGATTAATAAGAGTAGCAGCATTTCATTTATGAAGTAGAAATGAAATAATTTTATGGTTGGCACTCACCACAGCATGAGGAACTGTATCAAAGTGTCACAGCATTAGGAAGGTTGAGAACCGCTGTGTTAAGTGTTGCTTAAATGAAACAGGTTTAATCAATGTTTTTTCTTAAGATTGTAATAGTGTTTGTTGTGTTGTTTTATCTCTTAGGTGGCTTCTCAGCCCGCATCTTCTGATGCCCGCAGGAGCCCTTTTGGAAATCCTTTCGCCTAGCTTCTGTAAGTTGAAGAACCTGCTTAGCATTTTCTTGCAGTAGGGTAGATGGTGAGAAAATGTGATACAGAAGGTAAAGGGTAAGGTTTTATCTTTAGAATTGGAAAAAGGCTACATATGTGTAATTTGGGAGTAATAGGTATGAAAATCAATACTCTGATAACTTAACAATAATAAGGCTGAGCATTTAGGAAATTAATTCTTACTAAGAGTAGTCAAGCCTGGAGATAAAATCTTCTGTCCTGTGTTTTTGATAGTTCAGGTCTGTATGGAAATAAATTCAATAGAACATTGCATCAAACTCTCTTTTTATCAGAGAATGACCTTGTTCTGAATCTCCTCCTTCCACTTCCTAAGTGCTGGAGTTAAAGGCACGCACCATTACATCAAGTTTTGTGTAGTTCTGGAGATCAAAACTGGGCTCCGTGAATGAAGCGCCTTCCAGCTACATTCCCAGACTTACTTTAAAAAACAATTCCTGTTGGCCAGGCAGTGGTGGCACATGCCTTTAACCCCAGCACTTGGGAGGCAGAGGCAGGTGACTATCTGTGAGTTTGAGGCCAGCCTGGTCTACAAGACCTAGTTCCAGGACAGGCTCCAAAGCTACACAGAAACCCTGTCTTGAAACACCCCCATGTTGAAGGCATAGCATCCTCATAACAATTTGGCTTTTCTATAAAATGTCCAGGTTTAAAAGACTTTCTGAAACCGATGACAATACAACTTCTCTTTCATCTCTTTCCTCAAGGATAATCTCAGACTGGTCCCTGAGCTGTGATGTGTTACTCTGACCCCAGTGACAGCTGTCAATGTTGCCCTCAGAAGCAATAGAAGTGCAAACTAAGTGAGAGGCTTGACCATCCCATCTCTAGTGGACTTTATTCTAGGAAAGCTGAAGTCTCTGCCAGGGCTCCCTGTGATCTGTTCTTCTCATCAATAAATGACACCAGTTGTGTTCTGATCTCATGACACTGAAGAGAAGGGAAAAAAATTAAGCTAAGTCACATGACATTAGACAAGGCACAGCCAGAAGGATAGAATAGTAAAAATGAATGAAATGAATCCAAGCCCATTTTATTTCAATATTTCCTCATCTGATCAAGGCTAAACTCATTCTTCAGTTATCTGTAATAGATAACTTCCTCACATCTAATAATAACAATATTTATTTCCCATTGTCTATGGAGAATGCATTGTGAAGTTCCCTGAGGATTTTTGAAACCATGAATTACAGCTTAGTACCAACCTGTTTATTCCATTATACATAAATGACTAAAATGTCATTGATAAAATAGGCACAGATTGCGTGATGTATCATTTACTTGCCCTGTTGCTGCAACAAAATACCTAGCAAAAGCAACCTAGGAAATGAAGGGCTCGTGGCTGATATCCATCAAGACGAGAAAGTCATGGCACAAGGTCAGCTTGTCTCATTGCATCATCAATCAGTAAGCAGAAGCTCATGGATACTGGTGCTCAGTTTGCCCCTCCTTCTTACTTAGCCAACAATCCCATTGCAAAGATCCCCATCCCATATTTAGGGTGGGTCTTCCCAATTCAGTTGCTCCGGTCCAGGTAAATCCTTGCAGGTATAGATGGTTTGGTATAGGGTCTCCCTCATTAGTTCTGACGGGTCTTGGCTTTCTTAAATGATTTTGGCTAGCTTTGAAATCTGGTGCCTCCTTCCCCAGCCTTCTGAGTGCTGAAGTCATCAGCACACACTATCACATCTAGTGGATGGATGGTACTTGTCTATTCTATCTTCCCATCAGCTCTGGGATGTCCTATCCCTAACATTTGAAAATGATGGTGTCATTTGTAACACACTGATATTCAACCCAACTATCCTAATCATTCTTCTCCATGTTTCTCTAGGACATTGTCATGCTGACTACCCAGAGGAACAAAAGACTGGCTTTAGCCAAGGACAAGAGCTGAGAGCCAGACACGTGCGGACCTCTGTCCTTGTTCCTTCCACCTTTGACATATTATCTGTTGCCTTACTTGTCTTTGCCTCTTGTAAAATGCCTTATACTTTCTGTCTAGGCTGAAGCTAAACCGAAACTATGGTTTTTCGTAAATTAAGCTCCTAAACTCTCTAGCTCAACTATAAATGAAGTAGCTCCCCTGCCAAATTCTTGTCCTTTGTGCCCTGTGACCCTCTCAGAATACTCCCCCTCCTACCCTCCAGTTGGGAGGTGCGGCCACCTTAACCCTTCATTTGACGTTACCCCGAGGAAATGCCCAAATCCTCGTAGCTCCAAGTCATTTGATGTTCCTGGTATGCAGAATAACTTAAACATTCTGTTAGTAGGACAGCAAGATACCTTGCTTCCCATCCCTACTCAGACAGGTTTTGGGGTAAAATGAAAGCAAGACTTCTCAGTCACAAATGAGGACCTGTTCAAGATGACCGTTTTGGCATTATCAGCCAAAATCATTATGCCCTCAGAGGTGCTTGTCATCGACTTGAAACGAAGAAAATTCTAACTCCAAACATCAGGCATTATTCAAGGCGAATAAAACAGTTTCTCCCTGGGGCCTCACATTGTTTTCATTCCAGATGTTTGACCCTGTTGACCTTATGGCCTGAATTTCCCTTGATGATCCTAATTTCATATCATGTGATTTTTCTTTCTCAATAAAAATGATTTTTGTGGCAATTACTTTTTAAAAAGTATAATTTCTCTTTATTCTGATGATGTCTCCCAGGACCTAGGAGATCCCATTGTTAATCTCCTGCTGGTTATTTAAAAAAAAAAAGTATTGTTTATCTCTCTGTGTCTTTGTCCCCCATCCTCCTTTGGGTCCATTTTGCTCCTGGGTTTGTATAAACAATACCCAGGAACAGATTTTCATGGGTCAAAAGGTGTTGAACGACTCATCGATTTGGAACACACACATCCACCTTCAGTCCTTGTTAGTCCAATGCCTAGACTTTGGAAGGCACACCATCCTCATCCTCCACAAGGAATGGGGTGTCATTCTCATAAACTTCCAAAGAGCAATTTAACACGGGAAAGAAACTGGACTCTGCTCAGCAAAGAAGGACTTTGTTCTGAAAGCTAAGTGTGACTGTACCCAATACACCGGGTCCATACTGGAGGTAGTTCTATGCCTTTATCAGGTAACTGCGAACTTTCTTGAAACGACAGTAATATAACTAAATAAGACAATAATTGAAGAGAGGAGAGAGGGTGATGAATGAATATTTGAGGTTATCATTGAAAATCTGCCTGCAATATTTTCTGCATAACCTTGGAAACCTATGCAATGCGTTTTCATTTTCAGTCCTTTTGTCATACAGTACTGAAGGGCTTTTTCCTGCCAAACTCTTTAGTTTTCCTTAGTTTATATTGAGTTTTTTTTTTTTAATTCTTGACCTTTAATGCTCAGGTCTTATGGGTGTTGATACAATCTTATTTTTTGGTAGAAGAAAAGGACTGCTCAGGATTTAAGCAAGAAGCTGGTCTTGTGAGCCTCTGTTGATTAGCCTCAAGTAATCCAAGCTGAAGAAGTCCTCTGGGTTTCTGTTTAATGCTAATCGTTACTTATCTACCACATATGGGTTTTTTTTTCTGTCTAACTTCCTATTCAGTTATTATAAACACAGAGACTTGAAATCATACTTTAAAATTCCAAATACATAAAGATGTGCGAAACTGGAGGTAACTATTTCTAGATGGCCGAATTTTTGAAAATGATCATCAGCCACATAACTCTTTTGTATGTACCTGTCTTCTTGTGCACTTTTCTGTATGCAAATAAAGCTATGAATTTACTCATTCAATAAACTGGAATCACAAAAATTTCATGTCGCTGTTAGCTCCTTCTAATAGTTGACCCCTGATTTAGATCGAGTGTCATCAAGGTATAAAGCTCACCAGCTAGAAGGGGGAAAGCTGCTGGTTAGGCATGTTTCGGGTTTCACGGTGATGAGAGTGTAAGTCCATGTTGTGGAAACACAAGCAAATGATCCAGTCTCTTTCAGTGTCTTATACCCACTCACATCCATACGCATCTCCTTCCTGTGGATTTAATGGAGTCCGTGGCGCTACATATCACGTGATATTCACTGGACAGTGTCAGTCCATTCCTTTTGTCCTTTGCTTCTCTGTTACTCGGTCATGTTTGACCCCACCAAAACACATGTGTTGGAGTTCGTCTGGGTGGGTGCTAGCCATGTCGAAGACCGCAGTGTCAGGCTGGCAGGCCAGGGCTCACCTGGGGATACTCAGTCATGGTGCCCTGGTTCAAGTTCAGGGATCTCATTTCAACAAAGACCTGGAACAAATCCTAAAGTGGGCTCTGGGAAATACAAAAGACTGGGATTTGAACCTAAGAACTCTAAGAATAGGATTCTAGGGAGGAACCATTTTATAGTGTACATGTTCTATTATGGGATGTATGGATCTTCTGCCTTCTTCCCCCGTTTATGGAAAACAGTTGGTGTCCTTCTGACAACCATGAGGTGGAATGTGGAGACAACAGGCTGGAGGTGAGCCCAGATGAAGGTGAGCTGACGGCGGCCCAGTCCAGACACCTAAATACTAACACACACCACAGGTCATCTGGTATATCTGGGGTTCTCCTGTGTGTTCAATGATCTGAACACACTGTCTTTGGTGGACCTTGATGTGTAAGCACACACTGAGGTTAAGCATTGCTCATGTACAAGGAGACATTCAGGTAGTGTGGTAAGAACCGCTGTTGGAAAAAAAGGGATTACTGAAGTAGGCCCTGGCAACGAGAATAAATCTCCTCCATACACGCTTTAGTAGAAATGGCATTCAGATCTATCCCAAATGCGATATTTTCTTGTAATCCTAGAGCTTCATTTAAGCACTCAATGTGCCTGAGAAAAGATTGGGTGTTAACAGCTAGGACACCCTATGATTTCTTACACACACACACACAAACCCACAAAGGGAAAAGGTACTGATTTTTATTACAGTAACCACTCATTGGGGAAGTGCTATGCTCATCATGAAAAATAATTCCATTCAGTTGATACATTATCCGACGAGTTAAGTCTGTAGCCATTACAGCTCCTATGAAGCTGACATCCAGGATTTAAAATGACTGAAGTTGCTCTAGAGGGTAGGGAGTTTTTCTAATAGGCCTTTTGTGGCAAAACCGTTGTAGGAGGTACTCTTCTCCCACAGTGTCAAAGGCCTGCCTCCATCAAATCAGGCAGCACTGCTATGTCTTCCTGTGCTGAAAGCTAGGCAGGAAAGAACAGGACGCTGGAACTCAGAAATGTGGTTCTCCTTGGAACTCCCTGCTGAGTGACGCCTCTGACCCAGCTGCCTGGATTAGATTCAAAACAAAGTCTTTTACTGAAAGGTGGGAGTTCCCCAAAGTCCCTGGTAAATATTTAAGCTATCACCATTTAAAGAGATTGCTCAACAACGAAACACCTGACGCTTTCCGGGAAATGGCATGTTTTTACCTAATTCTTTTCTGCTAAAAAGTAACTAGAACTCCTGTTCTAAGTTTAGCAGACACACACAGCTATGAAGAAAGCTACAGGTCTGTTAACATGTCCTAATTACAGTGATGCTGATGGAACAGGGCCAGCAGCTTGTCATCTCACCTCCTGAGTACCCCAGCCTGTTTGTCCTTGCTGTACTGGAGTTACATACCGAATTACAAACTTCTACCTTCTATTGAAGCCACAGCGGTGCTGGGCTTTACAGAGACACAATGTAGGTTTCTTGGTAACTGCAATAGTTAAAAGGAAAAGAAAACTAAAAATCAAAAAAAAAAAAATCCAATTCTAAAAGCCTTTGTGACTGTGGTGCTGTTTGTATAGGTTTCTATCAGTTCTTCAATTGCTGATATATACAATGGTTGGCTTCAGCTATTGTTTTAGCTTGATGTTGGTGGGTATTTTTGGTTTTTGTTTTTTGGTTTTTTTTTTTTTTTTTGGCTTTTTTAGATAGGGTTTCTCTGTAGCTTTGGAGCCTGTCCTCTTGTAGACCAAGCTGGCCTCGAACTCAATGAGGCCACCTGCCTCTGCCTCCTGAGTGCTGGGATTAAAGGAGTGAACCACTACCACCTGGCCTGTTGATTTTTTTTTTTTAAAGAGGAATAGACTGGATAAGAGTAGCCAGCCATTCTCCAAATCTGTGCTGGAGTCATTGAGAATTAAACTAATTTGCATATGCAGATAAGTTGGCATGTTAAAAAGTTCCCATTTTCATCTCTGGCGGCCATTATGTGTTATACCAATAAAGATGTTATTTTTGCCTCTCCAGTTTAAACTCATCCTAACTGTCCCTTTCTCTAAGACATACACAGGGCACAAGTTTCACTTCAAAGTGTGTCAGATGCTAATAGATGTCAGGAGCCAGGAAGAGCTAAAGGCATCGTAAAAATAAAAACTACGTTATTCATAGAGTGTACACATTATATCGTATACATCAGCTTTTAAGTTGTTATTATAATTTACTATTCCCATCATATTGCTATATTGTATAACCCGATGATAAAATCAAGTAGCAATCTGGAATATCCTCCCGTTCAAACCAAGAACTCCTTTTGCCCTTTACCCCAATCTTCCAGAAAGAGGTGATTTTGCAGTATTTAGTCACAACAGCTTACCAAATTTAATACTCACAATCTAATCAACTAGCATCATCTTATTAACATAAAAAAGCATCCTACGCTAACTTACTTCCATCCTTAGGTCCACAGACATCCTGAGAGGGTCCGAGAGATCATTCAAGAGTCCTCTGTGCACTGTAACATAGCTGGTTGATCTGGCATCATTAGCTAAGGCTCATGGGACCCTCTGACATGCATCCACTCACTGACTTAGCTACAAGCACCGCACCTGTAAGAATCATTTATAGCCTGACAATTTCACATGGTTACATGTCGGGCAGGCACATGGTCTCCACAGTAAGCTCACAAGAGGGGTAAAATTAGTTCAGTTAGTTCTCAGGCTCTGAATGTGTAAAGGAGAAGAGCCAGGAAAAGGTGATGACATTCCTGTACTCTCTATGGCACAGGTAAGATGGTCCCAAGATTGCTAGCTCTGTGACCTGTCATCCCCGCAGTCAGATGCCTGTTTTACCTCTGCATACGCCAATGCTTGAGATTTTCTCTTTTGTCATTAATAATTATCTATGAATATTTCTGAAGAATTGTGTCAGCTAGGTGTGGCGCTGCATGCCTTTAATCCCAGTCCTCTGGAGGTAGAGGGAGGCAGATCTCAGTGAGTTGGAGATCAACCTGTCTGGGGGGGGGGGCTACACAGAGAAACCCTGTCTTGAAAAATAAAAAATAAATTGTGTCAGAGAGCCATGCATAGTAGTGTGTGCCTGCAATCCCAGCCCTTGGGAAAGGGATGCAGATGGATCGGGAGTTCAAAGTCATCCTCAGCTGTGGAGTGAGAAGGTTTAGGTCAAATCTGTCCCAAACAAAACAAACGTGGTAGGAACAGCAGGTATGGGCTCATGCCTGTAATTCCAGCGCTTGGGTGGAGCCAAAGGAACTGCAGGGAGTTCTAGGCCAGCCTGGGCTGCCCTGGCAGTCCCTGTCCCAAACAAACAAAACAAAACAAAAGATAAGAATGGTGTCCTGCTCACAGGGGACATTTTCAAGTCATGAAACATGGCCCACAAAACTCCATTACATTCTCTCTTGTTCCTCAGAT